TACGCTTTCCAATTAAAGTGACGTCGTCAGGTATTTGTAGTTCCCGGTAAATCAAACTTAGTCGAGACGTACAAGAAAATAACAACGTACCATTTTTATTATTTCCCAACGTTGTTCCAACGTTGGCTTGCACGACGTACTTATACTTGAACTAGCCCGACGGCTACCCGTTGTCCGAATAGATACGTCTCACTGATAATCCCTAAATTAACGTCCAATTATATTTTTGTCTGTATTTTATGTATATTTTTAAACCTAATTTCGTAATCTCTATTTCTGCGGTAAATACAACCTTAAATAGCTTTCGGCCTAATAAATAATCTCCGAACTAACTAAATAAAGAAGTTTTGGTAAACAACTTAATTTTTTTTATATGCTTAAAAAAACCTAGAAATGGCATTTAGACATTCATCTACATTTTACAGAAGGAGGTCGAGCTGTGTTGCCAAAATAATAATAGTGATGTAAGTGATGTCTTCCCTCGCCACAAATGCTTTTTATCAGTAAGAGATGCTGCATTACAACTGTGCATCTTAATTTCATTTTTTAGCTTGGGATACCAGCAGACCCCATCCTCCCACATGTGAGGTGCTGGTTCCAAATCTTTTAAATTTATCATCTTTTAAAATAAAAAAAAAAAAAAAAAAAAAAAAAAAAAAAAAAAAAAAAAACTAAAATATAGTTTTGCACAAATCCACAAATGACTGATGCGCAAAGTGAGGTTACGTTGGAATACGTAGCAAAGTGAGGTTACGTTGGAATTATATACGATTGCCGGTCGTCCGGTTGATGACTTCGGTCGTGTGAGACGACTAAATGTTGGAGACCCGGTCAGAATTGATATATTGTTAGTTCATATTAAGTCGGACACAGAAATCTGCCATTCTTAACACGTATCAGTTTGTCAGCCATTTTAAAATTGTTTTTCGTCTGTTTTTTCAGAAGACTATAAGATATTCACATCCGATTTCTAGTAGATAAGGTATTGATAAGGTTGAAGTTAGAGGGGGGAACCTACATACATCCATTTTACATGATTAACAAACCAGCTAAATTTATCAAAAATATTTTGCGAGTTACATTTTATAGATATTTTATTTTATAAATCTACCACTTTTGAAGGCGCTCGTTGTTTTCCGGGGTATTTTAATCAGATATATAAAAAAAGTTTTTTTTTTTCTTTTTTCTTAATAAATCAATTTAAATGATTCAGGAACTTTATTATAGAATATGGACAGATTCAGATAGCAAATTTTTTTATAGTCTATTCGATGCGAGCGGATTATGGAATCCATTTTTGTAATTAGAGTATTTGGGTAGGTTTTTATGTATTCTTAGTAGCGAATATGAAACCAAACGTACGTAACGTAAGTGCTTAGCGAAGAATTTTAAGTAACTAAAATCCAACGTAATATGACGTGTTGGCAATTGGTAGAATTACATTACATATTAGGTCAGATACCGAAGTCGAGGCGACCCGAATCTGTATTCCTCATTTTGGTGCAAATAAGGGTCGCCAGGCTGTCGAAACGACGTTGGTACCCGACGTTGGGTTTTTTTGAACGCGACGTATACCGGACGTTAGATAACGTCCCAGAGCTACTTGGGACCTGTTCTATAGGAGATGACGAAAATTAATATCGTTGTCTGGAGCTGAATTTTGTATCAACACGATGGTAAGAAACGCTACGTCGAATCTGTCACGGTTTCGGAGTTACGGGGGGTTTTTCAAAGTGTGCATTTTAAACAAATAGCTGTATTTTGCTAACTTGCTGTAAAAATTTGTGTATTCTAATGGAAGAACAAATTTCCAATAGACGCTTTTCTTACGTAGAATTTAATGGTCTTTTAAAAGGGTGTTTCCTTTTAAAAGTGTCCCCAATATGGAAAATAAAAGTGGAGAAACACAGTAGACCTTATAAGTTGTAGCGTTACTACAGCGATACTTACATGAGTCATGAACCTTCCAGTGGGTTTCAATACCTTGAACGACATTTTTAATATTTTGTCAATGAAAGTCCACAGTTCGCCCGAGTGACTTTCCGAGATTGGAACATCAGTCAAATCGCCAAAAACGTAATCAAACTTCCTGCCTTCCTTGATGTATTGCTCCAAATATTTCATACAATCGCCTACAATAATCTGAAACAAAAAATTGTGTGTACATACTGGTACGCATATTTGAGACTAAAACTTCTACTTTAATCAGCATTACTTGAAGGATTTAAAGATATATATCAGGGGGTCTTAAAATATATAGTGCATAATATTTTTCAGGGGTGAGTATAATTACGAGGAAAAAAGATGTTTGAAATTGATGTTGACAAGATCATTTTCTTTTTGAGTAAATTTCCTGTATATTTTTTCGTAAACTTTTTAGAACTGCCTATTCACCGCAAATTTTCCCACGGTATAATTTCTTAAGGCCCGTTCTCAGAACTTCGTAATTGTCGACACTGATTGACATTTCAGACAACCAATGAGAGCTGTACTAAATTCAAAATTGGACAGTGATTTGGAATTTTTGTGCAATCTGAATTGGTCATTTGACGTGTCGCTGCGATGATTGGAAGGTGGGGACATACAGTATTGGCAGTTATGTCTAATTTCCCTATTTTAGGTCTTTTTTATTAGTGCAATTGAACAACATGGATATTTCTTTGTACGACGTATGACGTCACAGGTGATATGCGCAAACCATGGTACAAAGAATACAAGGTATGATCGATAGCGGCTCTAATTTCGTTCAGTTCGCGCATACCACCTGTGACGTCACTAGGAAAACAATGAATAAATAAAAAATAAAAGAAGTTGACGGAGACTGTTTTTTGGGGTATGGTTAAGAATTGTTGTATTTTTAAGACTTTTTTATTTCGTTTAATTTATAATTACTAAAACCAGCAGTTTCCCAAAATATTATTTGAAAATAATAATTATCTATAACGATGGATTTGGACGATAATAGGTAAAGATACTAAATTTATTTCTATATCTCGTATAGTAAATTGTTATTAGGTTTTTAAGTGTTGCGATGTTTGTAGTAAATAATTTTCATGTTCATCAGAGGCAATGACTCTGATTTCATATGAGGTCAGAGATGAGGATATCTAGGAAAAGTAACACAGAGGAATTGGTTACGCTCATCTTAAAAATGGTTGGAAAAGTTTATTGTTTCCCATCGAACAGTAGAAAATGCAAATGCAGATGAATGTATTGTAGTTGTAATAGAAATAATTCCAAAGGTGAAGTTTTAGTTTATTAGTGGAAGTCATTCCAAGGGTGAAGTTTATTATAATTAGTGACCTGTGCTTCTTTGTATATGTAGATGTTTTCAATGTTTTGAAGAATAAAATCGGTTGATGAACCCTAAATGTGTAAGGAAGTATGCGCATCGATAGATTAATATATGCTCAAATTTCTTTAATGTAGGGTCAATGTATTAATGCAAATTAAGCTTTTTTAAATGACGAAACTATTAAAGTAGTTTAACAATTATGGTATATCACTAAAAATTATTACTTTTAATGGTACATGAAGTGCCCGATATCCTTTCAAAAGTAGAATTTCTATTTTATATTAAATGAGGTATGGTACAACAACAATTTTTATTTAATTACCGGGAGATGAAAATAACAGGATAAATAGTTCTTTTTTTATCTACAAATAAAAATAGAATACAAGTTCGATATAAAAATAGAATAAAAAAAAAAAAAAAGTGATTTTCCGGCCGAGATTCGAAATCCGGTCTCTCGCTTCCTAGCCCGGCTCCTTATGCACTGCTCCACTGTAACTTGCTTAGCGATATTTCAATGACGGTATATAACAAAAAAACATTTTTTTTTTTTTTTTTTATAATATTTTGACGATTTGAACTGGCGCGCGAGGCGTGCTGACCAATAGCGCCTGTTATCACCTGTGACGTAGCAACCAACCTGCGCAATATCATACCTTGTATTCTTTGTACCATGTGCGCAAACTGAACGAAATTGAAGCCGCTATCGATGATACCTTGTTTTCTTTGTATCATGCACTGTTGTCATTTTACCAAAAATATAATACTAAACAAAAAATTCACCACATTGGCTATTTTACCTTATAGTTTGGCGCAGAGTACTGGTCCAAAACATCGCCGCACACTGATCTCATATACTTAGCGCAGGCTTTCATGACCACATCATCAATTTCTAACATTATAACTTCTTTTGGTTGTTCCTTAAGCAACTCGTATAATAGAGCGCCATCTCCACCGCCTATAACAGGGAAGTCTATTAAAAAAATTTAGGCAAGTGTAATAACCCTAATATAGCTATTCCCGTTAGTTTTGGTAATTCATCCTTTCTCGTTTCATTATCGTTTCGGGTATAGGGAAATAAAATCTGCATTTCGCCAAGTTGAGAAGAGTAATAAAACATACTACAGGGTGACGCACCTCGTTAACCTCAGTTGATTATACAAAATCGGAAAGGATTGTCGATAACAAAATTTACGGGTATATGTGGTGAGGCAATGTGCACAATTCATTATTTTGAAATATGCAGGCTGTTCAGAAACTAGAATCAACACAAGAGTTATATTTTGGCTTTATGGAACGACCCGGTGTATTGTATTTGTTTTTGGATCCTTGGGCAAGAAATGTTTAGTCTTGGTTTTTGAGATATGTTAAATTTTTTTTTTTTTTTTTTTCTTTAAGAATTTTCTTATTAATTAACCTTTTTTTCCGAATTAAATGTCTTGGTGTGCTGATTTGGAAGGTAAAGAAATGAAACTTTACTGAAAGATGTACTTTGCTCCTCTAATATTAACCAGGGCAACCAAAATTGCTGATCCCTAGTTCTTAATATTTACTTTTAACAGTAAAAACCTTCGATTATTCTTCAAATAACAAACACCTCTGTTCTTTTAACAAATCGAAAGCAGATTCAAAACTGCTCTTTCAAACATCTGTATCGTTTCTTCGTCGGCTTCCGTGTGCATACGAAAGTCACATACTTAGTTAGAACACTATTTATGTTACATAATTAAGAAAAAAGCAATAACGATAAAAGACTATAGAACTATTTACAAACGATTTATAACTACAGAATTTATCTTTGAACTTTAGGCGCGTCACTGCACCTGATCCTTTATAACTGCCCTATCTAGGCCACTGCCGCCGGCTTTTATGCCGACAGGTAAAGAACTATATAATAGTCCATAGATCGTTTGGCGCATAGAGAAGGTTTCGAATGTGCTTCGTATGTAGCTAGTCCATCATAGTGGGTCTCCGATGTTCTCTCGAAGATGAAGCGTGCGTGTGTCTATGCGATGTTAAGGTCATCCGAGGGCGGGCCATATTGTGAGGTTAGGTCGAGTCCACACCGGCTCGCAACACTATATTAGGGTTTCCAATACTTATCGAGTTCAGATTTTGAATAAAAAATGATTTTTCAAAATGGCAATCAAGATGGCTGGTGTCGCCATGGCAATTTTCGAAGATAGGAAACCCTAATATTGTTTAAAAGCATTTAAAAATTATTCGAATTATTTAAAAAAAATACAGAGTATTGCATTCGAAATAACGAAGTTATTATGTAAAATAAATATTTCAAATAGAGCAGCAATGAGGAAGATGCATATATTTTATTTTTCGCCAGAAACTGTTCAATTTATTAGAATAAATATGTGTAAATGCAAAAAAAAAATTTTTCTTGAAAGCAGTATCACAATTTTATAAAACGGGCCATTAAAATACTATGGATAACGCAAACGACGCCTCGCGAATTGAAACGGTATTCTATTTGTCTGACGTCACCCGCCGTTCTCGTCGATGCGCGATGGCCAGCAGCAGCCAGACGTGTTCCGTTTATGTACGTATTTAGGTGGCGTACTAAGACATTTTTCTTGCTTTTAGCGTTGATTGAAGGAGCTTTTTATGCTTTTTTGTGCAGTTATTATTTGTATGTGTTGTGTGTTCTGAGAATTTTTTAAGTAATGGCAGATTCGGGGTTTGTAAAAGCACAATCAGATAAATTGCCAAAAGTCGATGCTTTTATGTTGGGTGCTTTTATAAATACAAATTCCCAATTTATTGGTGCTGAATTACTAAGAAAAAAACAGAGAGGTATGTAACATTTATTCTTTGTAGTACTGAGGCATATTTAAGTATAAGTAGGTACCTACTGTTACAAACTTTTATATAGTTATAAATATTAATGTTATAAACTTATTTTTCAGATCAGGTAGGGAGACGTATGGAGATAATGCTGTATGTTATGTAGAAGTGAAAAGAGACAAAAATATTTGTTTAGTACGTGGAAAAATAACTCCAGAGCATAGCGTGAAAAGGACAGTTTTTTTATATATTGACACCCCCTTACCCTTGTTATTTTTAAAGATTGTTTTTTTACGAAATTATAGGAAATAAATTGTTTATCAGTAATGAAAATATTATACAAGGTGTCCCATAAGCAAACGCCAAAATTAAGTTACTTTTTTAAGTGAAACACCCTATATATTTTTGCATTCTTCGGAAATTTCTAGATATTCTATATATATTTCTTGTATAATATCCTATACCTATCTTCAAATGTTTACGAAATATTGACAGTTGAAAAGCGAAAAATATCCGGACCACCTTTATTATTTCTGGACCACCTTTTTTGAGACACCCTCTATAACTAGAATTAATTTTAAAAGAGAGTATATGAAAAACCATGCAACTTTTTATTTAATGTTTTCTTCTAAAACTTGCAGTTAAGGCTGTATGTGGGTGTCAAAATATAATGAATAACCCTGTACATTCAAATTTCATATACCTATGTAAGACAATATACATAAGTATATGAACTTACATCAAAATGATCTTCACAACAATAAATCGTAAAAATAGAGGATAATTTAACGTATTTCTTTTCATCTCTTCTCATGGCCATGGACCTTTTTTTTTCTGTTTTCGCTTATCCATTACTATTTATAAATATCACTAATTACCAATTATGTATTAATTAACACAAATAACTAAAATTTTCACTCGGATTCAACAGCGTTTAAAAGCAAACTGTGTAAAATAAACACGCGTCTGGCTCCACTCAACCAGAAGAACGGCGGGTGACGTCACAGCGGCAAGGCGCAGTAGAGAGCGTTTGCCCGGCCATTCAAATTAACAATATTTAATTATTTTATATTAGAGGCATTTCTTAACCGATTTCAACAATTTTTTTTTGTTCAATTTGTAATTATATGAACTATTTTTTAAAACCATTATTTAAAAACATGCATTTTCCTCATTGTTGATACCCCTGTATACATTAAAGCAATCAATTTTTCAGTAAAGTTTTCTCTCTGGCTGAAAAGTCAGCACAAAAATTTATTCTGAAAAGTAATGTACAGGGTGTTGACAATCTTTTTATTATAGCATGCATATTTAAATATCTTTGAATATCTCAAAAACCAAAGCTTGTAAACATATTTAACCCTTATAATAAATGCCTTACCAAAAATGAAATAAAATACCGGGTGTTCCATAAGAAAGCATATAATTTTGGTGTAGATCTTAGTTCCTCTTCCCACATATACCCATAAAATATATTTTTTTCTTTTTTTGTTTCTACATTTTTCCGTTTTCGTATAATCAACCGAGGCGAATGAGGTGCACCACCCTGTATATGTATTCGAAATTTAGCTCAGTTAACTACGTTTTAAAAACATAACTACTTTTTAACCATAGAGTATTATATGTACTTACTTTGTAAATCATCTAGTACTAGCATATTTCCTAAAGTTTTCGAGTGGACAATTTGAACTTTTTGGAATGGTGTTATTTCTTCAAAGACCAAACTGTCTATGTCATACTCGAGAAGACGTTCATCTGAAATATATTTCAGCAGTAGTAATGGTTAATTTGGAGTTTAACGGTTTTTAATAAAAAATGTTTCTATTAGGGCATTCAATCCCGGGATTGTCTTTTATTCGCTTTTATTTAATCCCGGGATTTTCGGGATTCATCATTACATTTCTTTTTAAATTTAAATCGTACACAAGTCTTTCATGATAGTACAATATGCGCTTATAAACAACCCTGAATGTATGGCAACAATGTACCTTATATTTTCCGTCGCAGGGTCTCTCTTGATCAGCTTGTTTTAAAGAAATTAAAAAAAAACAAGTTTAGATCCTCATCTTTGTTACTGCATATAAGTTGTTATTTTAGTATCTTAGTATTTTAGTATCTTACATAATCCTGTGTTATGCTGTGTTTGTTCGTTTGGTTATGTAAATTAAATAAAAAAATTATATTTTAGTTCCATTTAATGTTTTTTTTTGTTAAATAAACTTACAGTGGTGGCCAAAAGTATGGAAACTTTTTTAATTTGTCATTTATGCTGAGAAATTAAAATATGAAATAAAACGACTTATATAATCGTGACCTACAAATAATTTCCTACAAAACCTAATACATATCAAAAAATATATAAAAAATTATGAATATTTTCTTGGTCAAAAGTATGGAAACTTAAGAAGAATGTTTATTAAAATTCAAGATAATGTAAAAATTACTAATATTTAGTGGAATATCCCTTTTTTTATATATCCCTTTTGAATTAATTACTTCTCTACATCTTCGTGGCATCGAATCGATCAATCTCGTACAATCTTTACTGGAAATGCCCGCCCATTCAGTTGTTAGCACTTCCCATAATTCATTTTTATTTGAAATAGAATGGCTTCGAATTTTGCTATCCAAATGATCCCATAAATTTTCTATGGGGTTAAGATCCGGAGACTGTGAGGGCCAATCCATTAGTGGAACATTATGTTCATTTAACCAATTTTGAACAAACCGAGATTTGTGCTTGGGATCATTGTCTTGCTCGAACAACCATCTGAGTGGCATTTCTTCATCAGCATGAGGCAGTATATTATTCTCCAATATGTCTTTGTACAAAAAAACGGTCCATTATCCCATCAATTTTAACAAGAGAACCAACACCTGAGCGAGAAAAACACCCCCATACCATTATACTCCCACCCCCATGTTTTACTGTGGGCATCTGGCTGTACCGTGTACCTTTTGGTCTTCGAACATAACGTCTCCCGTCACTACCAAACAGTTGAAACTTGCTTTCGTCGCTAAACAGTACAGTATTCCATTTCTAATAAGACCAGGTGAGATGATCTTGAGCAAATTTAAAGCGGGCCATCCTATTATTCTTTGATATTAGTGGTTTCTTCACCGCAACTCTTCCAAAAAGTCCCATGTCATCCAACCTTCTTCTCACCGTGCGTGCAGATACCGATATTCCCCTTTCACCCATTTCTCGAGAAATGTCTGTGGATGTTTTTCTTGAATCTCCCATTGATATTCTCTTCATTACTTTCATTGTCCTGTTGCACAACTTTCTTGGTCTTCCTGAGTTAAAAGCTGTTGAAACGTTCCCTGTTTTATTAAATTAACGAATTATTTTCGAAACGGTGCTTTTTAAAATGTTTAAATTTTTACTTATTTGAATTTGTTTATACCACTCTTGTTAATTCAACTATTTTATTTTTTTTAAATCCGTAGAGAAATATTTAGACTTGGGCATGATGTTTATATTTATCTGAAGCAAATCGTACCGTTTATCAGCTTAAACTAAATAATTTTAATGTATTTATTTATGGTTTCCATACTTTTGGCCACAAGAAATCTATTGCTCTCCTACAAAAACTGCTAAGCAGATTTTTTTCGCTGTGTAATTTTTGGACTACTTTTATTTGCTGATAAGCTGTTCATTTATATTCCTGAGAGTTTAAGCATAGCAATATTTTCTGTGATATTTTAAAAAGTAAAAAGTTTCCATACTTTTGGCCACCACTGTATATGTTATGTTGTTTTGTAATGGGGATGACGTTTAATTTATGTTTATGTTTTTTTTTGTTCAATAAAATTTTGTTAAGAAAGAAAATACAAGGTGTCCCAGAAATAAGTGCAAGTATTTTAACTGGTGGTATAGTTCAACCCCAGAAACACGCCTATGAGATTTTTTCGCGAAATTTTTTTTTTGAAAATTCGAAATTTTTTGGAATTTTTTTTAGTTTTTAGTTAAAAACATAATTTCTTGATAATATAGCAACATATGTAGGTAGTAGATTATATTTACAAGAAAGAAAATCCAGAAAAGTTCCAGTGGTTCTCAAAATTTGAGCAAAAAATATTTTTTTTTTGGAAATTTTAAATAAAATAACTCTATTAGGACTTATTCGAAAAACGATAAAGAGAAAATATGTTTATTTTATCGAGATCTACCACCTCTTAAAATACTTGCACTTATTTCTGGGACACCCTGTATAATATAATTTCAACATAATTAATTTTTTTGTAAATCCCGGGATCGAAAAATTATAATCCCGAAATCCCGGGATTGAAAATTTCTTTCGGGATTAAATGCCCTAGTTTCTATGCTACATAACTAAAATGTTCTAGAAATAGTTAAAATTTAGCTATTTTTAATACTTTCGCTCTAACATATACAGGGTTCGGCAATAGTGCGTAGGGCATCTGTAGAATCTTCTAGGCATCTCCTAGAATAAAAAACTTGGAAATTTTGTTTAAGTGTACTAGGATGTATTTCAGGAAAATATTTTAACTTCTACATGGTAGCTCAAAAAAATGTGAGTGGATCGGAATATTTTTTTAAATGGAACACCCTCTATATTATTGCATTTTTGGCTTCCTTTCAGATCACTTCAGATAATCCTAAGATATGAGTAAATATATTTAGGAAGTTTCAGAGATATTAAATAAATAAAAAATATATATTTTTTAACCTTTCTTAAAAAATAATTATTAAAAATACAAGAACTATCCTGAAATCATAGGTATTTAGATGGTCCGTACTTACTTTGCTATAAATATCGTAATCTCTCTTAAATCATACAGGGTGTTCAAAATTCTACGCCAAACTTTCTAAAATATAAAATAATTTTTCTTCTTTTTTTTAAATGGAACACAATGTATATTTTTTTTTATTAGATAGAGAGTTAAAAATTTAACATTTTTGTATTTAAAGTATTTCAAAATTTTTAACGGTTTCGCAGATACACGCAGTATTCTTTCATATGGTTCTTTCAACGGTAAAATACGAGAGAAAAATCACTGAGTGGCTTAGATAAAAATTTACCATGGAAAATACCATGTGAAGTATAAAACCGCGAATATCTCGAAAACTATCAACTCCATCTATTGAAAAATAATATACAGGGTGTTCCATTTAAAAAAAAACGAAGAAAAATTATTTTATATTTTAGAAATTTTGGCGCAGAATTTTGAACAACCTGAATTACAATTACCGAACTTTTAGCAAAGTAATTACAGACCATCTAAAGTAAACACCTAATATAGTTTTGATTTCATGACAGTAATTGTATTTTTAATATATTTTTTAAGAAATGCTGAAAAATATATATATTTTTTTTATTCGTTAAGATCTCTGAAACGATCGAAATGTATTTAGTCATATCTTAGGATTATATAAAGTGATCTGACAGGAAGCCATAAATGCAATAATATACAGGGTGTTCCATTTAAAAAATCATTCCAATCTACTCACAATTTTTTGAGCCACCCCACAGAAGTTAAAATATTTCCCTGAAATACATCCTCATACATACTTTAGGTTTGTAGTTAAACAAAATACACAAGTTTTTCATTCTAGGAGCTACAAATCCTTGACATACCATTGCCGGATCCTGTATATCACCTATACAGTATCACAAATAAAGTCCGCCATCGTAAAGAAGAATAGAAAAACTAAATATAATCCTTATATAGACATAAACCAAATGTAAAAAAGCTGAGCAAACATTCCAAGTTACCTACCTGACGATTGAAAATATCTGATAAACAGCCCCCTTTTCAAAGGCACTAGTGTCTGTGACCTTTTGATTTGGACAACCCGTTCTTTCAAGTCTCTTTCTAATGCATGGCACTTCTAAAATGGGGATGTAGAAACATGCGAGGATCAAATAAAAACAAAATAAAATAATACTAAGAAATGATTAACGAAAAAATAAACCAAGAAAAATATTCAATTACAAACTACGAAATAACTGCTGTAATCTTAAGGTTTTTATACTGTAGTTTAATAAGCTAGAAAGGTAAAAAAGAGAAAAAAACACCAACTATAAAAATATTTAAAACACAACCATACAAAGTACTAGTATTATCGAACCTGAACTAGATAGATATACATCAAGAGGAATACCTCTCTTAATAGGTGGAAACATTTTCGATCTAAACGAATCTAGCGCTACGGCTAGTTTTTGTTCGAATACTTTACTCAGCTGAAACAAACAGTTATTCAACCTTTTTGTCTGTTAGAAACTGTATGGAATTATTCTATTTAAAATATGACGCATATGAATAAATCCCGCTTTAATAAAATCGTAATAAAACCCGAATAAATTTTAATTAAACCTAATTGCATCATACAATTCACTTACATCGATGCTCAGTAAAGGTTCCTGTTTCTCTCCTTTATAGTAATCTATATTTAAAATCACCAACCCATTGTTGAACATTCTTAAATTGACCACAGCCCCGTGACTGGCAGTGAAGACTTTAACTAAACTATCTTCAACTTCGAAACTGCTAGCGGCTTTCAGGCCCGTTAAGAAATCTCTCAGGACATTTTCGATATTCGTCGATAATACTGATAGAGACGCTTCGCTTTTAGCCAGACTTGGATCGACTGAAAAATCCAGCAAAATACTATTCACTGCCATGATTTTTTATGGAATAAATGAGATAAATTTCGAAGAGATTCTAGAGAAAATGATCTCAAGTCACTTTAATTAACTATTGATTTAATATAACCTCGCTTTTTACGACAGGCGGTCAGCTGGGAGTAGGTCAAATAAACCACGGTTACCAGGGCTAGGATGCTAGGAATAAAAAATAAAAATTTTAGAAAACATTGTTTTTCTGTAATGTAGTAAGAGTTGCATCAAAATTTTAAATTTCGTCAGGAAAAAGTTTTTAAGACAATATTTATTAGTAATTTATTGTTCAAATAATCGATTATTTGAAAAATAAACACGCGAATTATTGCATAAATTCAAATTTGCAAAATATTATCTGACAACCCTGAAATTTTTTAAAAAGTAGTTCAAATATTTAATTTGGTTTTCTGCTCTGTGGTTTTAACCTATTTTTCTGATTATTTTTGTATGTATTTGTTTGGAAAGATAAAAATGGTTTGTCTCCTGAAATAATAGATGATTTTTCAGTAATTCTTAAGAGAATGTTTTCTGTTTAAATATATGTTCGTTTCAATATTAATTTCTAAAAATGTGCGGTCGTGGAAATCGTAAATCAAAGAACAAAAACAGAGGTAGCAGTGATAATGGTTTCGAAGAATGGGTAAGCAAAATATCAAATTAGATTATATTAATAGTTTTGTAATATATAATGCTCTTTTAGGGTGGGTATATGGCAGCAAAGCGGGCTAAATTGGTTGACCAATTTCACAGTGAAAATATTGAAAAAGTATCGGATATTTTCTCTGGTGTTAGCATAATAGTAAATGGTTTAACTCATCCACCAGCAGTAGAATTGAAAAAATTAATGGCTGCTCACGGTGGAGAATATCATATTTATCAATCTTCCAGTACAACACATATTATTGCTTCAAATCTGCCCAATGTTAAAGTAAGTACTGTGTAAATGTGTACAGGGTCCCATTTTCGTGTGTTTTACAGAATTTCTCGTTTATGAGTAAAGATACAAAGATTCCGTTTGTGCATTACAAAAAACAATATAAAACTCTCAAGAATGGGATACCCTGTACAATTTTTTGACACATATATATTATGTTTCTTAGATCAAACATATTGGAGCAGTACCAATTGTTAAACCTGCTTGGATAACTGAAAGTATAGCTTTAAGCAAGTTACTTGATTATAAAAGATATTTATTGTATAATAACCAAAGTCGGTCACAACCAGCATTAAAGTTTCCTATAGTAGCTAAATCTGAATCTTCTTCTGATAATAAAGATTGTTTAAACACAGATAATGATTCATTTCAACATGTTAAAGAAAGGTACAATAATATTTACTTACTATTTAGAGTTTTTTGAAACCAAATAACTTTGTAGAGATAAATTACATGATGAGACAAAAGAGCTAATTACAAAGAGTGATGTTACTAAAGATCAGCCTAATTCAGTTAGTACTAGAATTACTAAAACAGCTTCGGATCCCAGATTCTTGGAGGAATTTTATAATAATTCGAGGTTGCATTTGATTTCAACGTTGGGAGCTGAATTTAAGCAACTACTAACAACTTTACGAGAGAAATCTGATGGAAGATTTGTTGGGAAAGAAAAATTAATAGCTCAAGGAAGTAAGTAGTACCTATTTGTGTTGTAATCATTCACGAACGTTCAGAATCATTTTGCGGAAACATCATTCGCTTATAAGAGGATGTATTAGAATTAGGGAAGAGCAACAAATCTCAAACTGCGATTAGCTCTCATTAAGAAACTGCGACTGCAATATCTTCTATTTGTGAGTTTCAATTTAGGCAACTAATATTACTATAGTTGCGATTTTTTTCTTTATTTCTAGAAAATCTTAAATATGCCAAAACCCTTACGTTTTAGTCATATTCTTCTCTTATAACACTCACCTTTATTTTCCTCCCAGAGTTCGTAAATCAATTAATATATGTATAGGATGTTCCATTACAAAAAACACAACTTTGATATGTAACTTTTTTTGGGGACACCCTGTAGAACTTTCTATATTTTTAAAAAAGTGCTCTGAATTAACCTACATATACTCACAAAATTTCATTTCAATACAAACTGTCGTTCTCCTGGGAGCCTCCGCGGAGTATGAGAGGCGCCACCCTGTACATACACAAACAATTATATTCCTTGTACCATATTTAAATATTAAAATCGCAATCGCAGGTTACAGTCACAGCGATTTAAAAATCGCAATCGCACTCCTCGACGTTAGGGTACGTCCATAGTGCACCGGTTAACACTAGTATAGTCTGTAAAACGAATAACTTTGAATTTGACAGTTCCCGCGGGCTTTTCTAGTGTTAATTTTATTAGGTTAGCAACTTGCGGCCATGCTGACGCAATGCCGTCTCTAATAGAACAGCCTCGGAGCGAGATTTATGACGTCACGCCAGTTAGATACTACGGATTAATAAATATGTTGTAGAATACATGGAAAACATAATTATTCCTCGTATTTGTGGTTTGTATTTTAAAAATGATATAGTTTAGATGAAATATACATAATATACAGTTAATAAATACAATATATATATATATATATATATATATATATATATATATATATATATATATATATATATATATATATATATATATATATATATATATATATATATATATATATATATATATATATATATATATATATATATATAGGTATGTGTATATATATATATACACATACCTATTTATAGTAATAAATACTTTGGCAGATAAACTATGAACCATACAAATGCAGCAAATGTTTTACAATATGGCTCAAATCGTACTCCATAGTCAATGTAGATAGTTTTTGTGTTAAGAATAATAATTTAAAAAAATATCTGGTCATCTTTTGACAAGTTTATATTAGTTTATTAATTGCAGTAAACATTATAATATATAAATAAATTTTGTGAATGCCAATAATAATACATCACTATTAGTAGATATTGAAGGTTTTTTGTTAAATTAGATCGATTTTCAAACCCCAAAATTTAAAATATATATATTTTACATTTTACCCATTATCTTATGTACCACCTATTCATTATTTGTATATTGTAAAACATTTGCTGCATTTGTATGGTTCATAGTTTATTTGCCAAAGTATTTATTACTATAAATAGGTATATATTATATTTTATTTATTAACTGTATATTATGTATATTTCATGTAAACTATATCATTTGTAAAATACAAACCAAAAATACGAGGAATAATTATGTTTTCCATGTATTCTACAACATATTTATTAATCCGTAGTATCTAACTAGCGTGACGTCATAAATCTCGCTCTGTGGCTGTTCTATTAGAGACGGCATTGGTCTAATATTTAGAAATGTCAAAAGCTGACGACATTTTACTTTTGTCAATTATGACATTTCGAGTTGATTTTTGCAAGAAGAGGAAGAACTGTCACTTGTTTTATTATTTTCCTTTTCTATTTCACGAAGGAAAAAAGAGTTACCTATCTGATTTGTTCAGGCACTCAATTTAAAGAATATCAGTAACTTTTTTGACAGAGGGATTTTATATTTACCATGTTGGTAAAAAATAACGGTCAAAATTCAAAGTTATTCATTTTATAGACTATACCTATCAATAAAACTAGATTATTGATAGAAAAATATTTATTATTAGTTATGAAGGGGTAGGCGCTCTAAAGTAGAATTGATAGCAGCTGCAACATACGCCACATTTTCCAGGCTTAGGCAACTGATATTAATCTCTCCACAAGGCGAGATATAAATGTGAAACTGTTTTTTCATATATTCTGCATGTACCTTAAAAATGAATAATAATTATCATAATTTAATAAAAAAATACGAGGGTTGTCTTTTATATTTGCTTATAGAAACATAGTAGGCGCATGTCAACATTTATCAAATGTCAAAATTAACTGTCATCTTTAGGATGCAAAAATGCATTTCTCTTCGTAGAGAATACTCCTAAAAATAATAATGTTTAAAAGTTATCTACTGTTTTTTTTTATCTCTATATGCAAAATATTAAAAAACAACAACCCTTATAATCACATTTATATAATACATCTTTTAATCCGGTATAGCAGAATATTCCTTGTTGACTAGTAATATGGTTCCATGTACCAAACGCTCCTAATCGTTCAAGTTCCTCTCTTAAGTACGACCTTAACATTCTAAGCCTTTCAACTGCGTCCTTAACAGAATTTTTAAATGTTTCAAAAAGCGATTGGTTACCGAGTATGAAAGCTACAATTCTTTAAAAGAAAACATCGACGATAAATTTGGTAAAGGTTGTTTCCAGTTTAAGGTAGCCACACACGCATAGCTATTTCTCAAGGTTTGGACTGCACAGTTCAAGCCTTGGGACGCTCCTCCACATGTACGGTAAAGACCTTGAGGTTACCGCTAGACTGTACAGGGTTAGATCAGTCCCATTTTGGTTAAAATCATACGGTACTTCCTTTATTAGTGAACCTGTTTGAACCAACCTGTCCTACATTTTCATCAAATGAAAGATACTTTTAATTTTTCTTTCAACTATTTGTATTACTCATCTTTAGTGATTGTTTAAACGAAATGTGAACAACAAAGACCCAGCTATATTTTAGGGTTCTGATGTGGTAGAAAAATGGAAATTACTTCTTCTGTTTTCTCGACATTTTTTGTACATATAGGGTTGTTCACCACATACGACACGGAGTATTGTAGCTAAACGATGAGATTTTTACAAATTGTAAGTTTTGGGTTCGATGAAGGACTATTAGAGGTACAATTTAAAAATAATTTTACAAGATACAGAGTGTCCCAAATAAGTAAAAAATATCAAAGTTGTATTTTTTAAATGGAACACCCTGTATATTATTACATTTTTAGTTTCTACGATTAAAATAAAGGTAAATTTGATTAAGATTTATTATACTTAAACCTTACCGTTTTTGAAATATTTTCAATTTTGTGAAATTGCAGTAAAAATTTTAAGGCTTCATTTCTCCAAGGGTACCAAAGTTTTTAATACTAAATATTTACTGAAGTTTATCTACTGATCAGTTATTGTGTTGCAATAATAAAAATAATACTACCTTATACAGAGTGTCTAAAAAATTATTTTAAATAATTATTAGCTTCAAACGGCAATAACTTGTTTAATTTAAATGGAACACCCTGTATATTTTACGAGAATCAGATGCACAATTTAATTGTCTATCAAATTATATTATACCATTTTTTACCTATCTCTTTAAGTTTCCGTAGAAAATGCATTTTCTTGTAATTTAGAATTTATTTATCAATATACCCATGGACTATTGACATTTTAGATTATTTTTAAAGATGTACCAAATTTTTAAAGAGTACAGATACTAATATTGTCGATATAATTCGTTTATTTCATTAAAAAATTTAAAAAAACATAGAAAAAAGTCTAAAGGAGTCAAGTCGGGTGACCGGGGAGGCCACTCAACTGCACCCCTTCGTCCTATCCACCGACCGGGAAAGTTATTGTTTAAATAATTACGCACATTTTGAGAGTAATGTGGAGGCGCACCGTCTTGTTGAAATATTAGTTCCGCTTCAACGTATCCAGGATTGTTCTCTATGATGTCAGTTAGGGCTGGGTCGATGGTATTTTCCAGTAAATCCAAGGACATATCACCTGTTAGATTTCCAGGAAGTAAAAAAGGACCCACAATAGAATTTCCAAAAATACCAGCCCACACGTTCAATTTCTGAGGGTTTTGGGTGTGCACCTCGTGAAAAACTCTGGGATTGTTCTGAGCCCAGTATCGACAGTTGTGCCGATTAACTACACCGTTCAAAAAGAAAGTACACTCATCCGAAAAACACACATTAAATAGGAAATTATTATCATTCGCCACTCGTTCACTCATAGTTTCACAAAATTGTCTTCGTTGACTTCTTGCACCAACTGAATTTTGTACGGGTGGAACTTGTGTTTTTTAATATCCTTTGGACACTTGTACGATTCATGCCGGTCTCATTGGCTAATTTTCTTGTACTCAGCGTACTATCCATGGCAACTTCACCCAATACGAATACCTCCATAGCTTCATTTACTACAGGATTTTCACTCTGCCTCTTTTTATTCATAACGGAACCAGTTTCGCAAAATTTTGCTAACTGGCGAACAATTTTGCCATAAAGGTGTTTGTCAGGATGGCGTTCATTAAATATCTGCGCAAACCGATTGCCACATTCATTATTTCCACTCTTTCTGCAAGTGAGTACACCATAATTGTTAAAAAGTTTAACGATATTGAAAAGAACTTCAACCGCTTCAACGCACAAGTCACAGAACAGCTATCTAGCAACTACCGCACCTGATCGTTCAACCTTCTGGCAAGGGAAAAAATGCGTAAACATCTAGAAATAATAAGAAAAAAACTGCAAATTGGTCGAAGGAATTTATCCTTATTGTTACTCTGATAAATGTTTAAATAAAATTTTCAAATTTCAATCCTTCATATTTTCTCAATGACTCGACCGATTTTCAAAAACGAAGCGGGAAAGTATAGAGAATAGAAAGCTCTTTTCATAGCGGTACCACTTGACCCCCCTTCCCATTTGAAAAAAATTGGGGGATGACACCCCCGGTTAGAGGGTTGAA